TGTGGTCTCTAATGTAATTTTATTGCCATGGCTGTGCCTGGTAGATCTTTCCAGGCAGGCTCCTTTGTCTGCATTTTTCACCTCTGTCCTGATCATGCCTGCACTGGCACTCAAGACAAGCCGGTTCAAGAAGCTGAACAGGTTGAAAATCATGAATTTGTCCTTTTTTTCCCTTCCTCCTCTCTTCCTTTATGTTTGTTTTGGAACTAGGGGAAATCTGGTGCCAGATTACACCCAGTTGGTAGGGATCCACAGCTTTGGGGAACCAGGTCTGAGTCTAGTTTCCAGAGTACCTGGATTTGCACAGCTCAACCTGTTCAAAGCAAAACTGTGTGTGATGTCTGGGAAACTGAGGGTCAAAATCTGAGATTCTTTTTTCCAACTGTCAGTATACTTACTGCAATGAGTTTTTTCTTGACTAGGATCACACTACACATGTAGCACGGAGGACACAGAATTTTTCTGCATGCAATCATGCCAGATGTTCAGACTAAGGATGTTGTGAGTAATGCTAAGGGTATCTGTTTGGTTTTTTAAAGTAGATTTTCATATGCTTATTTATCCTGTCAAAAGTTGGAGAATAGATGGTCATGAAAATGAAGTTATTCCAATTTTATAATTCTTCCCTTGTCTTCAAAAAAACCCTACTACCATCACCTTCATCCTGAAGAATGTTGAATCTCTGCTGCAATCTTCCCACATACACTTATTTCACGGAAAACATAGTTGACTTTAAAACATTTTATTAGGAACAATGCTGTTAACATTGTCACAATTTCAAAAACAAAAGTACTTCTGAGTTAGGCAATTTTTTACCTGTTTATTTTGATGGTATAAAACCTGTCTCCTAGATGATGAAATCCTTCAGCTGAATGGTTTGCCTTGCAAGTGTATTTTTTTCTAAGGGAATCTGTTTGCTACAAATTGTTGTAAACAATCACACATTCTTGAGTGAGTGATCACCTGCATTTTCAGCAGAGCATGGTCACATCAAACATCTACACCATGAATTGTCTTGGAAAAGATATCCCTAAATAGCACAGTGCCATAGGGTGTGGGAGGCATTTTAATACAACTGACACAGAAGGGTTTTGACTTCACTGTACAATTTCAAAATGCTCAATTGCTTTACGTATTGGTATCTATCACTCAATAACTAAAACACCCAGAGCACCAACCAAACACTGTAACTTACCTCATGTGATGTTGGGGTACAGTTAGGGTTACATTGGATAAAATGTCTTCTAACATAATGAACTGTGTAAGATGTTTCCATGTGTTGAGTGCTGCTACTGCATAGCACACACAGGGGCTGAGAAGGAGAAACACTGACCTTCTTTTTCTAAAAGGCTCGTAGTAAGGAGAGTGTGTTTGCTCTCTCTCCCACATGCTGGCAGAAAGAATAGAAAATGGTAAAATACACGTTGGTTTGGGTTTCTTTTGTATTTTTTTAAGGATGGGGTCAAAACAGACATGTTTGCCCCAGAAGCAGAATTATTAAGGAACTGAACAACAACTTCCATTACTTTTACAGCACACAAACTGAAGAGCTTTACTTATTATCACTAAAACAGTAGTACTTAAAGCATTAACTAAACCCTGAACCTTTTCAAATTTAGAGGTTGTGTACAATGATTATATTTTCAAAGCAGCTTTCTGGATTTGATACATGGTTAAGACTCATATTTTATTTCTCAGTAAATATCTTGTACATTCACATTTTTACAGGTGTGCTATTAATAAACACAATAATGTGCAATAGCCAACATAGCACAATAGCCTGGGTTTTTAACTGGAAAAATTATTTTAATACTTGTTTTGTAATAATTTTTAAAACATATTTTAACTGTATAGATAAGAAGACTTCTGGTATCCTTGCATCTCTTAGCCATACTCTCAACGAGGCATCAAGGTCCTTCTCTTGGTTTGATTTTGCACATATAATACAGTACCTCTATCTTCTGCCGTATGCGTGTTTACTCAAATATTACATCAGTACACTTGATCAGCCATTAGGATTAGTCTTAATTTTATTAGGCTAATGGATAAGCTCTAGCACGACATTCACAATCATGCTTGACACCTAATGTTGGTAAAGGAAAGAAGTGAAAAAAGGAAATGGACTGCTGGCATCAAAGATTAGGCATCCCTCCTAACTCTCCTCGCACTTCATGTGCACAATAAAACCTATTGCTTTTATACAGTCACATGAAGCTGTTTAAGTCTGTAAATGTGGAACATGCTTTGCTCTGACTAAAGTCACATCTGCTTGGGCTTCTTGTTTTTTCTGGTGGTTTTTTGGGGTTTTTTTTGCACCTCAGGTAAATAATAATCCCAGATGACTGTGTACTGTCACTAACTGGCTAGTGGGTGTGAACACATTACATATAGAAACAGAATTAGACCAAAATCTGCATTATAAGAGGTAATTAAAATCACTACTGCTGATGTGGTTAATGCTATTAAAGCATTAGCAATAGGTCAGGTCCTGCTCCAACCAGCAGCTTTATTCATTCACCAAAACAGTGCCTTTCCATAAAAACTGATGAGTGCAGAAGTGCCCTAATAAACTGTGGGAAGAGATGAAAAATACCTTAACACACTTTCAGAGGGGGTGAGTGACAGTTTAAGAGGGAGCGAGTGACATACAGTGCTGGTGCATGCATTGCAATGAGAGCAGTCACTGGTGTTGCTGTTAGCTAGACACAGCCATGTTACTCTTAAGCATTTCATTAATTAAAAATAAATGCATATTAGGAAGCTCTGCAAATCCCAGGGATGTAAAAGAAGAATGTTGAATTTCTGAGCATGAAAATAACACTGCAAGTCCTTGTGAGACAGGGAAAAGCACAGCTGCTGCTTTGATTTCCCTGGGGTAGCAATGGGCATTAAAGTAGGTGAGAGTTGCATGGCCAGGGGAAAATTTTGCTCTGAATTTTTACAATTTAGAGAGACATTGTCAGGTCAAATATGCTATGCAATGAAGCATTATTAAAGGCAAATCCCAAAACCTTTCCTTCTGAACTGAAAATTTAAAAAAGGGTTCACTCGCTTCTTCTCTCTTTCTCTCAAAATCTATCAGTAACAATTCCCCTCTACTCCACTCTCATCATATCCCACCTGCATTACTGCATCCAGCTCTGGGGACTCAGCATGGTAAACACATGGACCTGTGGGAGTGAGTCCAGAGGAGGGACACAAAGATGCTCAGATGGCTGGAGCACCTCTCCTACAAACACAGGCTGAGAGAGCTGGGGTTGTTCAGCCTGGAGAAGAGAAGGCTCCAGGCAGACATTATAGCAGCCTTCAGTACCTAAAGGGGGCTACAAGAGAGCTGGAGAGGGACTTTTGACAAGGGCATATAGTGAAAGGACAAGGGGGAATGGCTATCAACTAAAAGAGGGCAGGTTTAGAACTGCTTCCTCCCTCTTCCACCCACCCTCATGGCCAGGCCTGGCCCTGGATGTGGCCAAATTCTACAGGCCCATGAAAAGTGAATTGAAAGACAACAGACATATTCTGAAACAAAGAATAAAACCAAACACTACAGAAGGGTAATTTTAAATAGCATGACATGAAATATAATTTACAGGGATAATCAAACAAAAGGTTCAAAATTGGATTTACTGCAGAGTTTCCCTTAAATAGCACTAATTTTTTAATTATAAATATAACTGCATGTATTTTACTGCATGTAAATCTGAGGTGAGAAAGTTTATCCACTCAAGTTATCTAGAAAGCATACAGTGAGCTTGCTAATTAACTGTAATAAAATCCTTCTTTTTTTCAGGACTGCTGGCAATAAAAGCAGAAGTGCTGAAGGAATTTCCATGTAAAAACACATTAACTAACAGCCTTATTAATATGCCAATTCTTTATTGCATTTAGTACTTCAGCATAAGTTTATGGGACCAAGGTATTTTTATTTTGAAGTGCACTTCCCCTTAGTAGTAGCATCTGTGTATATGTGTGTATACATGCATTTGTCCCAAACAGGGATAACCTTCTTAACCTTCTCTTCCCAATTCCCTTCTCTCCAAACAGGAATTGCATCTTCAGCCTCTTTGTTTTCACATATACAGCTATCATAACAATACTAACAAGCCTTTGAAAAATGTCTTCCATCCTCTCGTCATAAAGAGTTTGAAAGCTGACCAGACTTTGAAACACATCCTAAATAGAGCACATTTTTGATGCGCTGGTAAAGATTTTTGCTGCAGGACTGGTGGAGTAGAGAATGACCCTTTAAAACACCAATGGTTGTATTTAACAAGATCAAATTAATTTGCCTCCTCCCCTCCAAATATACTGCTCATGGTGCAGTTTGAGTAACTGTAGGATTAAGAGAAATATTAGAAGAATTGCAATTCCTCCTTTAGATTTTGATAAGTACTCTTCCTGAATTTTCTCCTATTCAGCTACCCTCATATCAATATCAGCAAAGTATCAGTAATGATGCACATCCCCCACCGCAGCTTAATTAAATCATACATTCAATTCATCAAGTATTCCATTGTTCCCAAAGAACTACAAAATATCTCTTTTTTAGTAGATAAAGAGTAATTACCATCTCATGGGGCCAACCGAGTTGTAAAGTAACTTTTATAACTAACTTGGATATTAAATATACTCTAACACAGACAGACATCTTGCTACAATAGATGTTTGCCTCTTCCTTTATAAAAAAACCCTTATTTTCTCATGCCTAAATCTCTCTTCCAGTTTCATTTTTAAAAGACCCAAGAAAAATAGATCGTGAATGAGCTTTTAGCAAAGCATTAGTAACTTTTTTGTCTCCAGACATAAAAGTCACCCCCATGTGCTGAGGCCATCCCAGGGATTCTGTACAACAGTGCAATGGGACAGCATAATCAGCCATGCAAAGGAGCCACTGCAGTAGCTCCCTCCTTGGAAACACTGGTTATTGTGTTCTTAAGACCCTCTCCCTTTACTTTTCGCAGGCAGAACTGAACGAATCTATTTTTGTTTTGTTTTCCTTCTTAACAGGCACTTTCTCTAGATCTGACAACTCTGCCTGATCAGATAATGAATGTTTACATGTGATGGTCATTGTTTCCAAACTGCTCCATTGTTCTCAGCATCGGGGTGAAGCCCCGATGCCCCTCAAGACAAGAAAGCAACAGCAGAGGAAGGAAGGGTTTCCTGCCTGACAAGAGCAGTCTTATTTAAATCGGAGATGGAGTTAACCACCCATTCAAACATATGCACGCAAAACACTGAAACAGATTGCCTGGCTCTGCCTTGCATAATATTACCAAATCCCAGTGAACCGTATTTAATAAAATAGGGTGAGATGATACTGTAGTGCTGGCAACACGGCACACAGAGAAATGATCACAAACTGTCCTTTATTTGTTTGTCCCTCCGGAAAAACATTTGTTCTGTTGCCATCCTCTTCCCCGCTGCATTTCTTTGAATATGCTAAGTCGGTTGAGAGATTTGGGGTGAAAATTTACAGCCTGGTTGTCGTGTAGATTTGGGTTGCTTTGCTGATTAGAGAACAGTATGTATTTTATTAAGAAATGTGTTCATCCTCAGCTTTAGGGTTTATATCTGCAGCAGGAGTGGGTTTCTTCTTTAAATTCACACACCATGACATCAGTGATGCTTAGGCACTTGATAACATGGTAGAAGTGAAGATCTGCTGCAAAATCTGGGGGATCTCTTTGGTATTCATGGCAATAAAAGACCGACCTGCTGGTAGCGTCCTCTGCAGCCTAAGGAGCAGAATGAGAGACAAGAGACAATTACCATCTCAAATTATCTTCCCTACCACAAGCCAGAGTTCCTTAAGAATGGATGTTTTCCTTTCGAATACCTTCCCAATCCGTGCCATTCACATCGCTGTCACCATGCAATTAAAGGTTTAGGAAAGCAGCAGTGGGAGGAAACGGTAAGAGCAGCTAAGGCACAGAGATCCTTTCAGCTAGACAAACAAGAATGTTTCCAGAGATTTCTATCCAGGTCCTCTTTCTGACATGCCAAAACTCCATTTTGATCAAGGTATCAGTGATCCCATGAGGTGTCACCAAACTGGCTTGCTGGTGGCAGCTAGAGATATACACTGGAAATGAAGGCACTTTAAATCGACTACCATGAACCCACAGCTCTTTCAGTTCAACATCTCCAGTGATTCTAAATGTGCTCTTTATATTTCTTCCCTGAGATTGCAGCAGATTAGATGGAAATGTATTTTTCTCTCAATATTAATCCAACACATTTTTATTCACAGCTTAACCTCCCTTAAAAAAGTTAAGCTAGATGCATGCTACAAACTCCATCTCCCTCACATACAGTTAGCAAGCTTGGGATTTATTTTTCACTGCTTTTTAAAGGAATTTATGCTCCACACCATTCCTCCAATACTAAGCAAAGTCTCACTTTTAAAATTAGTTGTTAAAAAAGCAGCAACAGAGAATTCCCTTCTCCTTCCCCCACAGCAGTTACAGGAAGGCTTTGTCTAATTCTGGACTTCCACATACATAGAAATGCATTTCAGTGACAGCATTGTGTGCATTTTCCATACCCAGTGAACTAGGCCATTATAAGATCTCTTACACAGCAGGACACGGTCAATGCCTTTTTTTTTTTTAATTCCTAGCAAAAGTAAAAGGACTTTCTGTAATTATAATCTTTCAGAACAGATTCTCTTTTGACGCATAACGCAGCTCTGATGTACAGACATGCAGCCACAATGGTGACTGTGCAGCTGTATCTTTCAACCCTTTACTGATTAAAATTATGTACTGAGGGCTAATTCCCTTTGGGATTTCTCTCATTCTGCTCTAGTTGAAGACTCAGAAGCAGAAAAGACACTGTTGATATATGCGGCTATATCAGACTTTTGCTGCATGTACTTGTCCTCAGTGGATGTGGAACCTGGAAGGACACTTGGGACATAATTTCCTTTTTCTCCCTTGTGCCCAAACAATTTAAAGTGAAATTATGTAGTAGAACTAAACCCAGACCATTAAACTCTAGCTTCTTTTATTTTATTCTCTTTTCATAGGCCTACATGCATTGGAACCACACACTGGGCAATGACAAAGGCACCCTGTCTCTGTTATGATTACACAGTGATATTACATACACGGATAGCGCACATCCTCCAGTGGTAGGATGGCTTCAGTTGCCTCCTTTGGATGCACAGAATGCTCTCAACTAGCTGGCCACAAGGGATGTCTGTGGGACCCACAAGCCAGTCTCCTTCCTGACACAAGTCAGAAGCTATCTACTAGCTTCTTGCTAGTAGATTAATAATATTATTATTAATAATAATAACCAAATATTATTAATAATAATAATCAAAAAAAAGGATGAAAACTTGGACATGACCTGGCAATGTGCCCTTGCAGCCCAGACATCCAATTATAACCTGGATTTCTTCCATCAAAAGAAGCATGACCAGCAGGTCAAGGGAGGTGATTCTGTCCCTCTACTCCACTCTTGTGAGATCCCACCTGGAGTGCTGTGCTGGAGTCCTCAGCACAGGAAAGATACGGACCTCTTGGAGAGGGTCCAGAGGAGGACCACAAAAGTGGTCAGAGGGGTAGAACACCTCTCCTATGAAGACAGGATGAGAGAATCGGGGCTGTTCAGCCTGGAGAGGAAAAAAGTCCAGGAAGACCTTATTGAGGCTTTTCAATAAAAACAGGGGGCTCATAAGGATGGAGTGAGACTTTTCACCAGGGCCTGTAATGATAGGATAAGGTTCAGCAGTTTTAAACTGGAAGAGGGTAGATTTAGATTGGAGATATGGAAGAGATTTTTACAATGAGGGTGATGATGCATTGGCACAGGTTACCCAGAGAAGCTGTGGATGCCCTGTCTCTGGAAGTGGTCAAAGTTAAGTTGGATGGGGCTTCGAGCAATGTGATCTAGTAAAAGACATACCTGTTCATGGCAGGAGGATTGGAATAGATGATATTTAAAGGTCCCTTCCAACCCAAACCATTCTATGATTTTACAATACCACAATCAAAACCTTAGTGCATAACAACAGCAGGGCCAACTATGCCAAATTTCACTGCAATAAAAGCATAGTGTAGATTTATGACATATGAAAGCAAATGGTATTAAGCATAAAACAAATGTACTCACCTGTCTGCCTGGTCTCCCAAGGATCCTATAAATATGGCGAAAGCATTGACTTGAGTATTGGTGGTCAAGATCTGGGCAAACCTTGAAGGCTGAATACCGTATCGTTCAAGATTTGCATCACTTAAGACGATAACAAAATACTCATCAGCCTCTTCCTTGGCAATTTCACGAATGGCATGCTCTGTCCCTTCCAAGGTGTGGTCTCCACTCATGCAGAACTGAGCATGGGCATGCATCGTCTGTGTGCACAGCATAACCACATGGAAATACGTAAGATGACTTTAGGAATAAACATTCATTTCAGCTAGCACAGGAAGGACTAAATATTCATTTCTGCTGTATTAGGGGATGCATCAGAAATGCGGGCAGTACTCCAGGTACAAGAGAAGATGCAGCTTTTTGTATATAGTATATCAAATGTTAAGACAGACAGCACTTCCTAAAAACACAGTGGGTCAAACAATCAAAACCCACACATGGACCTAATTAGACTGGGTCTTAGGGAAGGTAAAATACTTTGGTCAGCTGCAGTTTGAGTAGCTACATTCCTGTGTATTTAAGGAAGAAATCAGGGCTTAGTTTCCTAATACCATGACCAGCTCCTGCCTGTTCATAATTTGCACTAGACTGCCAAATCCTAGTAGTGTCCCAGTTATTATAAAATATCTGACTTATAACAGTAGCAGTCAGATTTAAAAGTTATGAAACATTTTGTTTGAGCTGTTATGAAATAAATACACTGTTTTCATTGATGAAGCTGTTTCCCCGCAGAAGGAATATCAGACATTACTAAATCCAGTCCTTTTAACTGAAGTAGCTCCCAATCTTTTACAAATAATTTTTGAAGGAAACTCAAATACACAGTTCTAACCTATCAAGCTGCCAAATAGGTAAATCCTACAATATACTCAATTTTTCTTCATCCTAGTACAGTAAAATTTTGGTGAGTACACTCACTTCATGATTGTGATTTAATATGTTTTCAATCTGGCATTGACACATTTTTCCACTGCTACTGTGATACATAACTTCTTGAAGGTGCCAGGCTAAATTGCTGACCTGGGACCTCTCTACAGTTCAAATTAGTTACTTATGCACTAATAGTATCACCACATGGTTTAGGCAGAGCTATCTATATCACTATATAATGCTTGGAACTTCCCCTATCCTTTGACAGATAGTCAAAATAACACATTTATGACCACAGCAGTCCAGAAAAAAGTGTACCCAGCATCTACTATTTTGGCATAATTTGTTTTCTGCCATGTCTCTGAAAGGTCCTGTTTCAATTTTATGCAAATACATCGATTTTGCTTTCTTGTCCTTCTTTTATTTTACTCTCCTCATGTTTTGTGTTCTGTGACCCACCCACAATTTTATTTTTGCAGTCACAAACTCCTTAATTATCTAGCATCACTGATCAATAGGATTTACCTTAAGAATCTCTAATCTTTGCTTATTGTTCTTGGGAACTTTGTCACTCCCAACCAATGCGATGTTGAAGCCGTCTCCCGAATGTCCAACAATATCGTACTACAAGAAAGAAATGTCATCAGTCATCTGTTAGTCAGAAATGGCACTTGGGCCACAATGATATAAGACAGATCAAAGGCAATTTGCTTTCAGCAAGAAAACCCATATACTGTTCCCTGCTTCTCTTTATGAGCTGCTTAAGAAAACTAATTGCAATTTCTCACTGACATGAAAACATGGGAAAGAATTTCTAAACAATGAAATTAAAGAAAAGTTACTTATTTCCATGGTCTGTTTTTCACATCATCCCACCACCTGCAGAGCAGTGATGCATAAGATCGAGACCTTGCCCTCTTACATTGTCCATGTATTTTTTTTAAAGCAGCAATTTTCATCCTCTTGAGTCTGACAAACAAGAAGCACATTGTTTGACAGTAGCTGCTATGTTTGATGAACCTTTTTTGTGACCTCATTCTGCTCTTAAAAAAAAAGGTATTACAAGCTGCCTTTTTTGAAAATCAGCACTTCTTATTTTTGTGCATAACAGATCAAAGCCATTGCTGACAGTAAGTAGAGAAGTGCATTCCAAGAGCCTCTGTATGTTTTCAAAGGAGATGGTGTGCACATGATTCTCCTGTGAAAGATGTTGCAAAAATGACATATAGAACTGTAATAGTTCAAAAATCGTGTTGAACAAATAATGCAATATTGAGAATGTCTCTGTTTTATGTGAGAGCTTCATTGTTGTTACATGAAAACCAAGACAAGCTGAGTTACGGCAAGGTCCTGACCTGCCCTTTGTGTTATGGATGTGGCAGTCACCCCAGGGAGAATTCATGAGCAGGACAAAAATGGATTTAAGAGCTGTCTACACCAAGCAACAGAGCACAGTGTACAGGTCCTGAGCCCAGAGAGACCTGAGCCGGCAATTCCTCAGCATGAACATGCCTGACTAGCTGGCACAGACCTGCATTTAGTTGACAGGGAGCCCTTATGCAATATTTTGCCTTTCTGTTTTCTTTTTTTCATGTACTGTTACAGATTCCTGCTGGGTTCACCATCTCTAATTCCCATATAATCATTTCGTAAAAGGCAGGTCTATTCCTCAAAGTTTTTCTGCCTTCCCTAATGAAAGCCACTTTATTTGGTATGTCAGGTCCTAGAGAATGGAGAAATTGCATTCTTTATAGACAAAGCTCTTTTTGTTTCCACATCACTAATTCGCTTAAAAATATATCGAAAGAAAGCTATAGCAGCTGGAACAACACTTTTAAAGGTGACACCTCCCTCTGTGAAACAGCAAACGTGCCACATACTATAGATTATTTCACCCAAGGTCAGATCATTTTATGACAGCCTCACATAACCCAGACTTCCTCCTTGTAGAAAATTTTTATATAATCTAGTCCCCATACAATCCCATTTCTTTCTGCTTTGTTGGCACGGGAAAACATTCCTGTTCTCCTTTTTTCTTCCATGTCTAGTATTTACTACTCAGCCTCACACAAAGCTTCCAGTCTGGCACATTTTCTCTTCAAAACTTATTTCTTATCACCAGTAATGCCTCAGACCCTCTCTTTCCTGATGAATATAAAGACATGGCAAATGAAAATATACAGATTTTGAGAATAATGCTGAGGTTACATTCAGCATACTTCCTAATTAAAACAAGAATAAATCCTGTTTAATAAATCCTGAACCACACACAAGAAGTGTGTGCATGAGTGTTATTTTAAAACCTAGAGATAATTCAAATCAGAGGAATTAAATAAAGCAGAGGTTTAATGGAGCAGAAAATATACAGAGCTCATGGTTCTTATGCAATGTCAGAAATCTCCACACGTCTTCAGGATAGGCTCTTAATTATAAAACCTTGCACAGCCTTTGCTGAGCAGTTTTGTATTCAGCATCACTTTTAAATCAACAATTTTACTATGTAAAGCAAAATACTGTCATTTTCCTGTGTAAAAAGGCTGAAGCCTTTGTAGAAAGCTCCTTTCTGGTTTCCTGGATGTCTCAAGTGGGTGTCCTGGTATCAGCTCTGCCATACCGAGTTTATGGTAATAGGCCAAACTTTGCCATTTGGGAATATCGTTTTGGATCTTGGCATATACCAGTAATAGACCAACCTTTCATCTCAAAAAGCCTGAGCATATGTGACAGACTGCATAAGGGGAACTGCTGTAGCTCCTAGAGGAAACACTAGATGTTGACCCTACAGTTTGGCTCCCTCCACATTCTTGCGTAAGGTGGAACATACAACCTGGGTGCAGGCAAGGTGAGGCTGAAATGATCTGAGCAAACTATCACAGGCACGTCAAGGCGTTCACCTGGGAACATCATGTCTCGTCTGCTCCCTTCTCAGCTAGCTGCTTATTATTCTTTGTGTGTGCCCATGCATGCACTGAGTACCATGCTTATCTTTAACAGATGTTATCAGTTTCCTTGTTTCTTTGCTGACAGCTTACTGTGCTAGTTGTGATTTAAAAATGTTTGGTGAGGCAGCAGGGGAAGAAGTGGCTGTTTGCTTCATCCTGACTGCTGCATTCTGGGTCAAGCAGGGCCTCCTGAAAAACAGAGTGAGATCCTGCCATGCTGTGGAAGAGCTGTGGTCACCAGCCCTCACATTCTGGTCCTCATGGTCCTCTGATCCCTCTGGAAGTTAAGTCAAGGACCAGGAGTAGCCAAAGCCTAATGAGTGTGAGGTTGGTTTTGGGCAGCTCAGCTCCCCCAGCTGTGAGGTTGTGAGTGTATGTGCCCCAGCAAAGGAGGGGATGGGAATGTAGCTGCACTGATTTGAATTAAGTCAACACAGGACTGCTGCCTGGGAGACCCTCCCTGGGAGGGAGAGATGGGAGTAGGCTCACAGTCAAGCTTTAGAAATGACAGAAGGGAGATGTTTGCCCAGGGGAATGTACGGAATCTGTCACAATTCAGGAATACAGAGTTTGGGACAGCAGTAAAACTGGATCAAAGAAGCTCACTCTGAAAGGGCAAAGAATTTAAATCTCTCATCCAGGTTTCCTTGCAGTAAATTATTACCTCCTGATTTGCGTTCTAGCAAATGAACCCTTAGTGATTTCATATTATCTTAGTGCAGTGCTTGTAAAGAATAGGTGCAGACAGCTCCATAGACCTGGTCAGCTGGGAATCCCAACACATGCAGGCACGTGAAGGTTTTGTCAAAACCAGTTTTCTTCCTTTGCAGTAGCTAAAGATGAGCACAGAAGAAGGGCCTTTGAAAAGCAAGGATCCAATCTGATGTTTTTTTCTCATAAATTCCCTAGGAAAATTTACGTGGATGGAGTTACCAGTAAGAGAAGAGCTGTGATATGATCTTACTCAGAACTGACTTTTGTTTTGTTTTACAAAACAGATTGCAAGCAAAGACTCTCAGGACAAATCCAGCAGCAAAATACATGTTTGCCATAGTGAAGACTTAATTGAATTCACATATTATTGTGGTACACAGCAGCTTGTTTTCCAATAGCCTCAGGTACACTGAGACAAGAACTGCTCTATTCAGAGCTGTGAGTACACAACATATAAACATGTGTCTTGAAACAGCATCATTTTGTTGGTCTCTTTCCATAAGGAAAGGTTAAAACAATATCTATTCCACTGTCACATTTTGCACTGAATGGATGGTTACTGCTGTCTAAAATGGGTAAAATGGAAGACTTTGTCTTCTGCAGCTGCCATGCCAAAAGGATTAATTTCTGAAGGCATTTAAAAAGCTGAAAGAAGATGTGTGCTGAATGTAAAAGGCAGTGTGAATTAGACAGAACTCTGCTGGAGGGCTAGACCTTTATAAATTCATCTCTTCTTTGGACAACACTAAACATTTATTTTCCTAAATTTATTTCAAACCTTTTTTTTATTATTTAAAAGAAACTATTCTGCCAAGAATGTGAACCATTTCTTCTTTTCCTGAATTAGCAGTGTTGCCTCCATAGTAGATTTTACAAACACTAAATGCTGAAACAGGTATATAAAATCGGCAATATCCCTTTAATATAGCTATAAATAATAAGTCAGGCTTTTCCTACCAGTTACATAACAGGCTATTTATTGAGACACAATATTTTAAAGGTTTCATAAAATTGCTGTTGGATAATTCACTGGACATGCCTCCTCAATCTGCCATCATGTGTGCAAATGATGGTAATCAGGGGTGATATAAAACCATGCAGTTTGAGACAGACATGTACCTCAGATAAAATAAAGAACAAACTGCCCTTATGTACAATTTCAAACAATTGGCACCTAAAATGAGATGTTCCAAAGATGAACAAAATTTAATCCTGCAAAATAGCTTGCTTATTATAACATACATGTGTAAGTGATGCATCCACACATTTAAAGGGGCCAAAGGGCATTTGTAGGAACATACTTAACCTCCATTATTAGGATAAGACTGACAATGTGGCTTATAATATCTCAGTCAGTGTCACTCTTTTCTTTAATAAAGCACTTCAGAGGAAGCACGAAGAGATGACATTGGAGGAGGGCTTTGAAACATGGCTGTTAATTTAAATGGATTTCCCCACTGTGCAATGGGCTTCCCGTTTCCCTCTTGACAAGGAATGATTCACTGCCTGCACTTATGGGAAACGGAAGGAGGCAGGATGTCCCATGCAAGCATAAAAAGCTGACAAATACCTGCTGGCACTTGTCTGCCCTTTCATGAAGGATAACTTCATTACTGCTTGGTACAGTCACATACCCAATACTCAGCTCTTCTGTATAAGAAGGCAGAGAGAAAGTATTTTCTACCTTCAGTCATGCTGTCAAGACCAATGAGACAATCAGCATCATCCATGACAGCAAAGTGTACCACTCATGGGGAAAGCTCAACTAGGAGGACAAAACAGCCAAGGAAAAGTTCATATGACTAATTCACAACCATATTTATTAGAGAACTAAACTAAGCATCACCAGAAAAGTGATCTTGAAAGCCAGGAACTGCTTTCCAGAATTTGCACTGAAGTTAGATAGCAGAAGGGAACTTAACTTTGTAAAACCCCTTTGCTCAACAAGCCTGATGATCCCATTGGTTCAATCCATTGTACAAGAAACCCCTCAAATTTGCAGTATATATTGTGGTGATCCTTGCAGGCCTTGCAGGCCAAAAAAGTTTACTTTTATAAAACCAGTCAAGGAAAGGATAAGGAAAAGAAAGAAAGAAAAAAGTGATAAACTGCAGATTTCTCATTGCACACTACACAGTTGTGTGTTCTTCTATTTTTTCAAATGGTTCCTCTTTTAGATATGAGAAATGTATGCTATTTTTGCAGACATACCAAACCTTCAGCTTTGTCCTGAGAAAAATTAGCAGCATCTTGCAGATTGTCAACTGTTTTACAGAATTGAGTCAGTGATATTTTAAAACAATTACAGCATTTTCCTCCAAGAGGATCACTTTCTACCTAGCCTATTTTCATTACATTTGCAGGAATGCAGTGACTCTAGGAACAAAACTACGGTTTCAATTTGTTTGCAATTTTGCAACGTGCTCAGTTTAAGCAAGTTTAAGGGTGAGAAAGCATCACTGCCAGAGAAGATGGGAGCATGTGCCTCATTTCCTTAGGAAAGTAGCCTAAAAACAATGTCTGTCTCCTTTTATAGCCTTTTCCCCTGAAAAGTCTGCGTGATTGTACTTCAGAAGACATTCTAGAAGCACATACCTCCATATGGCCTGATTTTGTCTATGAGATTCCATGGAAGAGCAGAAACCTGAAGGATTATGTTGTTGGTGGAACAATGTGAAGCAGACGTGGCTGAATTGATCTGGACTATGTTTCTACTAATTTTGTTTAGGAGATTTTACATTTGCTTTAGATGCATTATAATTCTTATGTTTGAGATGCTCTTCAGTAAAGGTACTGGGCATCTCTGTTCTTCCATTAAACACTGAATCTGCCCAGAACCAACTTGAGACTGGTCATTACTGTTTTCTTTATGGTCAAAGAAACATGCTCTTAACCTTGTTTAGGCTTATTGATACAAAAAGGGTATTAAATTTATTTACATTTCCTTTGCAGGCTACCATTAAATAACATTTGGAACTAATATCTTTCAGTACAAGAAATTATTTTCTTGCTTTCAGATAACTGGAAGAGAACACAAATAAGGACAAAGAAGTTTGGTCTTTTCCCATGACAAAGTACTGCTGTGTGCACTCTGGGCAGACAGAAGAGCATCTTTGCGTGTCCTGAAGCTTATATTTACTTGTGTTCTGTAGGTTTAAGCATTTCTGCTCAAAGAAACAGATAAAACCAGAAAAAAGGAGCAAATCTCACTAAATTGAAATCTTAAGTTCTTAGATTGAATCCTCCTCTACTGAGATGTGTAATGTTTCTTATCCTTTCACTAGTATTATTTTTCAGGTTGCTAGAAATAGATTATTGTCTTTATTTCCTTGTGGGAATGAATAATGCTCTTTGGCTAGACTGACTGCTGAAACATTTTTTCCACTGCTCCACACAGCCTGTGCAATAACCACAGAGCTCCTAGCCCAGCTGCAATTACCTTGAATTTGTGCTCATAATTCTCAAAAGCTTCCATGACCATGCAGACAGCCTCCATGGAGCGTTCCAGCCGTCCATCCACCCCATTGAAGCGGTACATGCTGCCAGAAACATCCACCACCAGGCGCAGGCGTTTGGGTTTTTGCTGAGGGCTCCCAGGCTGACAGGGAAACACAACAGAACAAACCCCAATATTAATGGGGTTTAAACATCAGTAATAACAGCTAAACATCAGTAATAACATCAGTATTAACATAATACTAAGCTAAACATCAGTAATAACAAAACATTTTAGAAAGTGAACCCAATGAGCTTTGTGAAGCAAGAAAATTGTATTCAGCAAACATATTTTTTTTTCTTTGTAAAAAAAAAAAAGATTTGAACTTCTTTTTTATTTCAAACCAGTTCCTTGACAGATACCTTAGCTCATTCTTTCCCTTCACCTTCAATGACTGGAAACAAAATACCTCAAAAGATTCCACACATTTCTCAGGAAAATACTTTTTCTATTTCAGTTTTGATTCTTCACATTTTATTTCAGTATAAGAGACTTTCAAATTTGCTCTTTCTGCCAAGGCTCATAATGGAAATGCTTTTCCTTGGCTTACAGTACTAACAGGGATTCGTATAAGACTGTAAAAACTTGTCTGCTGAGGTTAATAACATTCCAAAAATGCTTGAAATCTTGTTCTGATTAACTACTAGTTTATTCTTTATTCTAATGGTGAAACCATTATTTTTTTCTGAAAACAAATCCCATCTGTTTTAACGATTTTTGGCACAGTACATTTAAGGTAGGTGTTTTATTTAGCATGCAATGAGATGTGTCTGGATTCAAGTATGAGGCTATTGAAGATGATCTAGCAAAAAACCCAGTCACATTATAAACAAATAACTAAAATTTTTCTTTTACGTGTAAAGCATTTCTGTGCTTTATTCTTTTAATTATTCTTTTTATAGGCTGTGGCACCTCTGCCCTCACAAAAACATAAGGTAAGAGGGACCATTAAATCAAACATTTATTTTGTTTTTTATGCACAAACTTAAGGTATTTGTTTTTTTTTCCTTATTGAATTATTTTTACAAAGCCTTAAAACTGATACATGGACTAAACACATTTTGAAACAAACGAGAACTGAGGCTTCAATCACTTTTCCCTTATTGATCTTTCACACAGGCAGTGTCAAGTCCCATAAATTGTTCAAAGCAATAGACATCAGGACCAAACAGCATAAAAAGTAATACCAGGGATTCATCAAATGTGGGTAGTTGATATGCAAAAAGATGCTGTACTCAGCTATTTAAAAAAAAATTCTTTGTGTGGTTAAAAACTGCAATCTGTCATTAAGTACTACTGTTAAATATTATGTATTACCCCCACAAGTTTTGGCCAGGTTTTGTTGGTCTGATTCAAGTGGTTTCTCTGTTCCTGACTCACATAGGTTTAATCATAATGCCTTCTAAGGAATGGCTGAATTCATCCATAGGACAATCAACTTTGTCATATCTTAACGGCTTTTCCTCATACTTTTTTTTCCATCATAATTTTTATTATTGTAAATCCAAATATCTGTAGAAGTTGAAATTATTTGCATCCCATAGAATAAGGAAAAGACATTTGCAAACCACTCTTTTTTTTTAATTTCTAGAGTATCAGCACATTTGTTAACAAAAATTAAATTATGAGAAAATATCTTCCTTTTTTTTGGTAAAAACTAACAAAATAAATGTTTTCTGCTAACTGCCTTACGGTCATTAAAATACAAAATAAGAACATAAAAACCGTTTCACTGGATCAAAACTAAGCACTGCCTGTATCAGTGTCCTCTCTCTGAGGGTGGCCAACAGGAAATATGCATGTAAGACTATAAGAAGAGGTAAAGTAAATTTTCCATTCTGTGGTTGTCTCTGTATCAGGGACATCCCAAGCCAGAGATGATTCTTCTGAGTTTCTCATCCCTATAACTTACTCAAACTCAAACACACATACTGTACAGCCACTATGAAACCAGCAAAATGGTTAAGCTCTTCTCCACCTTTCCCTGTTTCTTGTTGGATACTTACTTGTGGCTCAAGTTCTCCCCGTCGTTTATATATGGCTTTTTCTCCTGTCAGCCCATCAATGATTTTGGCATCATCTAGCTCTCCAACAGCTTGGTGTCTCAGCCATTGTCTTTCCTTACCCTTGGCCTACAACAGAAAAGAAATCTTACTTCACTCAGTGACGAGAGTGTATGTTAGACAATTTAAGACCTACTGCAGATCACACATGCATTAATTTTCTTTGTAACAATGTGATAGTTTTGGCATAAGTCAAAGAAATCCAAACACATGTTCATAGCTCTCCTGTTCTTCTTCTCTGAAGGAAAAATTAACACTGACAAAGAACATGTTCCCTCTGTAACTTTGTCTTTTTTAAGTTGTTTCATATATGGAAGTTTAACTGTGGACTGCAGAAATATTAACCTTTCTTCTTGCAAATATGCTGAAAATCTGTGTAGCAAGCCTGTTCAGAAATACATACAACCAGAGGGACACACATAACTGATCATTTGTTATGCATTCTCAATCCAAGCAGCACAAGAAAAATCATTGGGTGACTTAAAGATAAAACTAAGCAGTATTCACCTCAGGCAATGGTAAATGCTTTCTTTTAAAACAGTATTAATAATAAACCAGTTATATATTTAAAAAACCCTACTTTTAAAATCATGGTACTCAAAAGACAGTCCATTAAATACTTCTTTTGTTTTAGTTAAAGGGACACTAGTTATCTGCAGCCTGACTTGATGAACTTGCATTACAATCCAGGAACTCAAATATTCATGGTACTCCTATCCACAGAGCATGCAATTCATATTGAAGACTCAATGTTATCAGGAACATATTTAAGAATGTTTTCAAAGGATAGCTTCATCATGGTTCATAATATGTAATTTCCATCTAAAGACAGTAAAGTCTGTATATACAGGTTTCATCATTTATTTAATTTCTGTTTAGATCTACACCCTAGTAAGGATGCACATCCTTGCTGATTCAGCAAGGAAAGACAATTTTGAATTTATATACATATAATGCTTTTGCCCTCTCAGCAAATTGTTGGTTACCAATTGGAGGAAAATCAAATATCCAGCAGGACACAAACTGCCTTAAACATTGGTTTTCAGGAACGAAAAGCAATTGCTCTCTGTTGAACTGTTAGTCTTATATGACAAATCCTCAGTGAACTGCAGGCCTGGGATTTGAAAGGATAAATCTGAGTTATGTACACTCTGAGCAGGCAGATAATGCCTTCTTAAGGCTCAGAGAATCTTTGATTTTGGGTTAAAATTTATGAGGTTTTTGTTTTGGTGTGTAAGACGAAGGTGTTCTGGACTACAGCCTATTGTCTGTAATTACTCAAGAGTAATTGACTACTTGCCTGTGAAAATAAGTAGGCAGAAAGACTACAAAACCACAGAAAAATGTTTTGATTAATTAATTTTAGAGTAGAGAATTTACATAGCTATGAAAAATACAGGTTTTTTAGTTAGCTAGTGTCAAAAGCTTTACAAATGTTTCCTGATAGGAGGCAAAAACAATGCCAATACATGGAAATCACTGAAGGGGAAAGTGGAAAGCATTTCTTAGGTTGTGAATTCAGTCAGTTGTGTTCTCTGATACACTTCCATGGTGCTACAGTCAACCTCACTTTAACCAGCTTTGGCCATAGGGCATCCATGAGTTTGTTTGTACCACCAACTAGCAGTTTCCACTATCATTAAATATGCGTGGGATGAAAGGATTAATTCCTTTGTTGCCTTCAGAGTTGTGTAATATCACAAAGAGACACTCGCAAACTCCTGGTGACTTCTACATGTCGCACCAAAATGTCGCACTGTAGGGAGGTTTCCTGCTGTGAAAAAGCCAGTGGCAAATTTCAACGCTCCAGCTAACCACTAAAAAAGTGCTCCTGGAGACAACATGCTGCTGAGTAAGCAAAGCCTGTCTAAAATGAATCATGCACCTTTCCAGGTGATGTAGCTGAGACGACTTTGTTCTTAGTCATCTTAACCACTCTAAGTACTGGAACAGAGGTAGATCCTTAACATTTCCTTAGCACTGATGTTTTGTCAAATTTTTGTTATTTGCTTCCTTTCAGTAGGCAGGAGGGACAAACAACAGAACATTATAAAGATTCAGCATCATTGAGCAAATAAATTCTCAACTAGTTTCACTATTCTTTTGACTGCCAATGCTTTAGCTTTGTGGCTATTTGATGTTCAAGGAACAGCAGTGTGAGAAGGCTTTTTACTATGGAGAAAGTTAAAAACAGTGTAATACCTTCTGAAGCTTATGCAACAAATGCCAGTATTTGAGCTGAAATTTTATTGGAGGAACACAGAGTTGACATTGTCTACTAAAATAGGAAAGAATGCTGACAAAATCTGATCTAACCTCTTTCCAAAATAATACTAAAATTATTTAGGCTACTTAGCACCTGCCTCTTCCATGCAGAATTCCTCTTAGGAATTCTTAGAAGAATAAACTCCTAAGAGTTTATTTCCTCTTATAAAAGCTGAAAAAAAAATTCTCTTAAGTATGTGTGTTATAAAATGTGCAAATATTGCATATAACAAAGAAGCTCCAAAGGATTTTTAAAATGTAATTTTCACATGTTTAAAACCAATGTAAGTTTAAAAGCACTTACAATTTTAAGAGAAAACTAGAACTAATACATATATATCTTCCTTTGATATTTGACTAGAAAGGGCATACAACACATTACTATTTCAATACGCTGCAACCATATAGATGAAAAAATATATTAATTGTGTTGCTTTTTAAATTAGAAAAATGTGCTAGATACCATATCTTATCAGCATGGGAGTGGTTGATCACAATGCACCACTGCAGTAATTCTTTTCACTGGAAGCAAATTCTTTTCACAGGCATATTTACAAAAAACCCTGCAAATTACAACTGTGATGTCTGTAAATGTCACAGAAGAAGATGTGTATGTGAAGTGATCACATAAATATGTAACTCGTAATGATATAGGATGGTATGAAACACTGCCAGTTGTGGTTTGCATTTGTTTCTGGGAAAACACGACAAATATGTTCCCTTAGCTGCTGAACACAAAACTGCTACTGACAGGACACAGGGTTTTTCACATTTTCAGTTCTCTGAGCCATGTTTATTCTAGGACTGTCACTATTTTATTCTTGCTGCTATGACCAGATAGTTCCCACATGGTCTAAATCAGACAGAGCCCAGTAGGCTCTGTTCTAGTGTGGGGACCTACATGAAGCTCAGAAGCTAAAGGGACAGTTGCCCCTGATTCCTTCTGTAATAATCAATTAAGAGAGAAGTACTTTCTGGAAAGCAAGTCACCTAACATTTAAGAAGGCCTTTCTGAGTTACTGACTGACCATAACCTTTTGAATCTGTAGCTCAGACAGACAAGCTTTAGGAGAGAGAGGAAAGCTCATCAGTGACTGGATTTCCTGGACTTCTGGCTTTGCTACTTCTACAGAAGATAAACAAATACCCGTAAGGTTTCGTTAATGTTGTTCAAAGACCTGACAGAGATTAGTGAGTTATAAAAAATAAAATGAACAATGAAATTACATTCTCAGACTATGCTTATGTATCACTTTCAAGGATCAGTCTATTCCAAACATCTCTTCTGCTACTACTAACTTTTGGTGAGCTATAGACAACTGGACCTGAATCCCAGACTCTCGATTCTAGGGAGGTAAAATTTAATCAAAATAACATATTTTAAACAAACCCACAAAACCAACAATAAAAGGGCATATGTTGAAAAGAAAATCCAGGTTAAATAAACATGGGCACCATATTTCTATTATGTAAACAGACTAAGTTTGAAACAAAGCAAACTCAAAAATTTTTAAAAAGCCAAGCTTGTTCCCTACTGAGAAGGTAATTTGGGATTTTTATAAAGTTAAAAGCACATAGACATCTGAGCTGCAAAGTTTACTGGAATGGACTGTGCCATTGGCTTCTTATTTGAGATATGAGGAATGTCTGACTGGTAATAGAAAGAACACCATTCTAGTTGAGAACCTGTGGTGTACATAGAGCTAGTCAGAGAAAAAGAGTTCTTCATCAAGGCTGAATGAATTACAATGCTGAAGAATCCAAATAAATTTTTTCCCTCTCAAAAAGATCATATGAAATGTGCTTGGACTCAGCTTTCCTATTAACAGAAGGCACTTTGCAACTAAGTAGCTCCTGTTATCATTTATCTTAATTTTCCTACAGCATCTTCTAATAAAATCCCTACCAACATCTGTATAAAAATTTAAAAAGTTAAAAATTTGCTTTCACTATTGCTCTTATTCTGTGATCTAGCTTTTCTAAACTCAGTGATTTGTTTCTTTCATCATAGATTCCGATTACTAATTCTGTGGTTAGCTATTATAGATTTTGGCAGGAAGTTACTAAAGTCTCATAAAATACTGAGGCTTATAAGATTTTGCCTTGATATTAAAATGACCTTTGTAACAAAGCAAGAGAATAGGTCTCCTTATATTAAAGTATGTTATATTTTGATTATGATTAACATGATCCCTGAATATAAGACTTTTGGTTCCAAGGGATAGATAAGGCAGATTAAAAACAGACTTCAAACTGAAGATTCACTTATTCATTTCATACCCACAGTATGCTTCCAATAGTATGTGTGCTAGAAACATGGTAAAAAAAAAATCTAGATATAAATGATGTAGAAAAAACCTGAGACTTACATCTAAATTTTTCCAATAGAAACCTGTCTATGTCCTGTACTGAGACACATATTAAGAGCATGCATCATCTACTCATGTCCATCTTAAATGTTCATTACGTGAGGAGTTCTCTGAATTGGTACATTCATAATAAAACAGGCTAATAAAACTGGTTCTCTGTGTATATATGTGATGGTAGTAATGTTGTTGCAGTTACAAAGGCCTAAAGATATAAGTAAGACGAAGAAATATTACCCTTCTTACTTGTAATACCAGGGAATTGAGTTTCTTGACCCAATGTGGAATCTGTTTATCGTACAAAGTAATTTCTTTCTATATGTCAGTTTTATTGCTGAAGACACAGCACAGTGACTAACTAACAAACTAAGGTATATATACACTAGTGGTTAGTAGTCTTCAACAGAAATATTTATAATCAAATATATCTTATAAGGAGTAAATTAATTTTCCTTTAATGTTCACTGAAGATTAGCAGATTCCTCCTAGAAACAATGCACTTTCAATTTTATTTACCCTGTATATGAACACTAGTATCAAAAAACTCCAGAAAAAACACCACATCAATTACCAGAAGAAAGGCAAACTGGCGGTTTTGATCTTAGGAGATTTGGGCTATACCTATTTTCATTAGCAAGAGTCAAAAACAAACCTGAGAAAAATCCATGTTTTCAGGTGTATATGCAGTAAAGCACTGACCTGGAGTAGGTGTCCCTTTTAATTTGCACTGGAGTGGAGTGTTTCTTTTAATTTGCACTGGAGTGGAGTGTCTCTTTTAGCATTTGCACTTCTCAGCTAAAAAAAAATCTTTTGGACAAGAGGTAAAGACAAAGACTGTGCTCTACACACCTTCACAAACTCTTTTCATACTGTATAGCAGTATTTTCTTTCACAAAATTGTGCTCCTGAATAAGTAATCTCTGGAAGCTGTGGTATGGGAATACTGTAACTTGTAGAGATGAGCACTGGGACCCACTTACATGCTTCTTTTAAATTAGTAATATGAAACTGTTTTCCCTAACCGTGATTATAGCCTCAAAGGTATGATCACCACACAGTAACAGAATAGTAGCAGGATAGTATTTGGGGCCTAATGTAATAACCTCACTATGTTCCTTTATTAGGGAATCTAAGATTACCTGCAGATTGTCTAAGATGATGCGGAGTGACTGAACTTGGCGTCGAACTGCTCCAGAGAACCTTTCGTAAGTTGATGCATCATATTCACTCATCTGAATCTCTTTCAATCTAAAGCAAAGAACAGGGAGCTAAGAACAGTTTAGAAAACAGGCATATCTTATATTTATTTATGTAAACTGAAAGTTTTGTACTTGATAACAGGGAAATTCAGATGGCAACAAGCACACAGAAGAGACAAATTAAAGAAGTGGCAGCTGCTTTTGTGATTTTTTGACAAGGCAGGTGTTCGCCAATGTCTACAGGGATTGAATCACATCAAAACTTATTAAAGTTACTAATCCTTCGACTTTCTCCTAATCTGCTTTAAAGTTTGAGAAGTAAAGCAGATGTACTGAAAACTGATCAAATTCGAAAGGTTTTATTGGCTCAGGTGTTGCTATCTGTACATAAAAGGATCATGAGTGTCTATTCATTACTTCACTGTTGGAGCATTTTAAACATATCCTGATTCATGCTTTAGCACAAAAGTTAGGTAAAGACACACTATAAAATCTGTCCCTGAAAACCTACAAATAGTAACTGTCTCAAATAGTTATCTTTGTGCTTCATAAAATGAAGAAACCTTGAAACAAAAGTTTTAAATGAACATTAACAAAAATGTACTCTGCCACATAGAAAATGAGTCATGTCACTGAACACTTTTCCTGTCTAGAGAGCACAACACCTGCACCATGAAACTAGATATATGCTTTTTCTATAAGTTTGCTCATTTCAAGTTCTGTATCATTCTTCTTAACATCGTAGCTAAGCAGATACTGCTAAACTGGTGAAATTCTCAATTGGAATGCTATTACAGAGGTCCAACTGTGAAGAACGGGCAAGGGGGCAGGTAGCCCCCACAGTATGCTAGGACTGTGTGCTGTTCAATATTGTCCATGACCCAACAACATGTAGCAAGGCAGCAGTTGTGTATCTGGCTACTCTACCATCCAGGATGTGGCTGGTATCAGTCCTGAGCAAAAGCATATTGGCCTATCTGTGCCTAGTTCATTTCAAACAAGCACTTCATAACAGCATAATTTCACTCACAGTGTTTTGAAAATATTGATTTTTAAATTAACTATAAATGAATAGTAAAGTATGTATAGGCTAATTATATTTCTAATTACAAGTTTTTTAATACCATCACAAGTTACTTGCCTGGAACATAAAGTATACATGAAAAATGCTGTTTAGACTAGTCCTTTAATGACAATATTAAAATCAAACATCAAATCTTTGTTGTCTTTAGTATGATTATGTCTTTTTATATTTAAAATTTTGTACAGTCATTATAGCCAACATTCATTAGAGGCAGGAAAAGGTAACTTTCAGGCCTATGCACTTAATTTCATGGATCCTGCTATCTGAGTTCAGCATCTTCAAATCTGTGAAGAAAACACTTTTTTTCAAACAAAAAGAACCTCACACACAGTTTTACTTTGTTAAACTCTACATCAATTCCCAGTAAAAGCTTGTTCAGGAAAATACCATGAAAAATACTGCCTCTATTCAAGAGTAGCTGCTAATTTCATTCTAGTCAAATAGGGCAATTTAAAATGTTTATGACAAGAAATATTACCTAGCCAGGAAAGTAATCAGTAATTTTCATATGAAAATTCTCCCTTCCAGATAATCCTGTATAAACAATGCAGTGAAATTTGCAGTTTCTCTTACGTTTTTTCGTCAGCCTGAGGACTCAAACCTCCTCCCTATTCTTAACTTTTACCTGTTAGTTCCCACAACTATCCAGGTGGTACAGAACAATAATCCAAGTCAAATGTGGTTTCATAATAGGCTCCATTTACAGCTGGTACATACCAACTCACTTGGTTTTTGCAGGACATAAATTGTTACCTCATGTACAGATACTCAGATTTTACAGGGCACAGCTGCACTGTTCCCACAGCATGTAGCGGTATCCAGGAATTTCCTCTAACACAAATTTGCTAAATGACCACACAGGGAGGTAGAAATTCATGAAAGCATGCCACAACTCAACTTTTGGCTAGAGACCTTTCAAACAGAAGAAATTTGCTTGCAATGGTCCATTTTGAAAGACATTTGTTAGGTGATAAACTCCTAACAACATGCCCTCCGGATTCATCTAAATTCACAGAAATTTTCATATGGTTTATCCCTTTTTAAAAAGATAAATATTGACATCACTGTCCTTATCCACCTAGTTATGTTTTACTCTACCAAATCACATAGTCATTTTAACAGTGCAGCTTAATTCAATAAAACATTCTATACATCTTGTCCAGAACAGTTAAACGTGTGCTGGTAAGCTCTGTTAAATGAGAATGAACAGGGTAATGTAGCTGATAAATGCAGTTAAGACAGAACATTCTTTTTAGCCATCTTTTTCAAATTCTTCTGGGAAATGGAAAGGAAAATAAAGATTTTCACATTACCTCTGTTTAAAGGCCTTTTCACCCATCTCTCGAGCAGCCCTCTTAACCTCTTCAGGAACAGCATCTTTTTCAGCCTGAGATACTTGATAAACCTTATGGCCCGCATCCAGTCGATATGGCCCACCTTTGCCACCTAACCCAGCAGTGTCTCTCCCACCTAACATGGTTGAGATAAAAAAATCATTAAGAATATGCATTTGATAATAAATAAAAACACATTTTCTTTAAAGCTTCCATTGCCATATCTTCAGATGTTCCAGAAATGCTGCCAACAATCCCCAGTAGAAATATTTATTGCCAAAGATTTTCAAAGCCAAACAACTATCATGGCAAGGAAGAACTCCCATGGAATACTCGTGTTTATAGTCCCTTGTGACCAGATCCATAACTGTTTCTACCTTGTATAAAGGGGATCATAGAACATAAAAATCTTGTACATCTCCTCAAAGCTCCTAGTCCTTAAAGCTATTCATCCCTAGAATTTGTTGGTTTAAACTGTTTCCAAACCACTTTATCTAGTGATCACTATTATGCCCTTTTAGAATTAAGATGCACTTTCTGTGTACTTCTTGCCTACACTACCTAAATAGTAGTAGCTGCAGCTACAGGGACATCTAAAAGGATGGGAAATGGCTCAACCTAGTTTCTGTAACTGCAAGCTTTTTAGTTCTCTGTATGGCCAATGAAAAGAAACAAAATGTAATTGAAGAAGAGATCTGCTATATACAGTTTTAGTTAGACACTGCAAATACTTCTTTTCACTGGCAATAAAGCAACCCTGTATTGGATAAAATAGCTCTAGGCGGAGGATGGCATTATAAAACCATTTTTGACTCACACAGCATCTCCCTTAGATATCTGGCAATAATCCATTAAAAAAAACAACAATGAAAAACCTGTTCCACCAGCCCACATATTTCCACCAACATGCGGCATGTTGTCTATATCCACTTTTCCATGTTTAGGGGAACTGACATCCAACCCACTGTCTCTCTGAATGGTTATCTGTAAAATAGATAAACAGAGCTGTAAATCTCTCTTATAGCAAAGAAAGCACTCTAACAATCTAATAATATGATACTAGGCGTGTTGAAGAGCTATAGGACCAGCAACATTCCACCTGAAGAGGACAACAGAATACAGCAGAGAAAAACAGGGCTCCCAAGTTGGCACATTAGACCCACACCCAAGCTAAGACGGAATCACTCAGTGCATTTAGATCATATCCACACTAGAAAAGTGCTTCCTGATAACCGCCCAACATAATTCAAAATCCCCCTGTAGACAGAATCACCTGCAGTTTGAACACTTCTCAGAGTATTGTATATCCATAGCACTGTACATTCATTTACACATTTAATGCACAGTTGCAGTTCCATGTTCATTATTGATGGGTAGATTGATCTTCCTTTCATGAACTAAAGGGACTAAAGAAATGACGTGCTCTTCTCTGGGATTCGTTCAAATGACACGCTCACGCAACTCTTACCTTCCCTGCCATGACCACAAAAGTCTACTGAGGTGGGTTTTCTAGACCTGCCTGCTGACAGCACTTTCCCCATTGATTCATGGCACAGCTGAACAGCCAACAGCTGTCAGATGGTCAGGGCTGAGTCACTTTAGGCTGGAGCTGGATTTAAGTGGGTGACTGAAGGTAAAAATACTCCTTCCCGTTACGAATTCTGAGTCATGTAGTGAATCAATGATTCATGTGTAAACTGCCTTTCAGTTATGAATCTTCTATAATTTAATGCCACTTCATTTTTTTAAAAATGAAACTTAATGACTGAGATGGAAAATTAATGTCTCTAACCACTACAAATTAACTTTCTTCTCATCTACCATAGTACATTTAATTCTCTGATCAATTTGTGTCCCAATAACTATGATTTACTGCCTTCTCAAAAGTTCACTGTCATGATCAGGGTTTTCACTGTAGTGCAGTTTAATCCTTGAATTCACTGTCTTGCAGACTCAACTCCACGCTGACATGAATTCCATACACATTTTTGAACTGAAAACATGTTCTCTAACAACTCTGTCTTGGCAGCTATTCAAAACATAATTTTCTTTCCATTTATAGAATTTATATCAATTCAAAGAGGTATGTACAATACATCTTCTGTAAACCATTAGTCATGAGTGTAAAATCAAGATCTAATCTGATAAATTACATTCATTTAACATTTGTATAGGAAGAGAGACACTTAACCACAACAGCACGTTACCCTTAGGGTTATATACTTTTTAAGTTTAAGAGATTTCCTCCAAAATAAACCATTCTTTTTTTATAACTGGTAGATTTAAAAACTAACAGAAACACAGGTCAAAAATCACTGAACTTAGTTTAAAATAAACTCATAAAACCAAAATGGTAATGTCAGCCTCATGAATCAAAACAAAATATTATTCTGTAATGAGAAACAATAAAATCATGCAAAAATTTTACATGTTCATGCTTCTGATTTCTTTATAGAAGGTTCTTTATTCTGCAAAAGGAAGCTCTGTGAAACACACATAACCATAACCAGTGATGCAAATGTCATATTCTATTTTTGTCAAGTTTTTCCACTAAAAAATTTCACTACACATTTTGAAATACAAGCGTTGTTTAAATCTTAAATGAAAAGTTCTGTAAACAATACAGCTTTACTGCTCATGTGTCTTTCTCATGTGTAAGTTGTTCACGAATAGTATTTCTAGTACACATGCAATAGACAAATTTCTAATATAAACCTATTTTACAACAGTGTTGATCTGATTAAAGTGGGTATTTGTAATTTTGAAATGGCATATGGTTAATAGATAATATTTTATTTTATAATGATTATTGGCTTTCTGTTCTTAAAAGGACAGTACATCCAACATTTCACTTCTGTTAAAACCTTGAAAAAAATTTCTTGAGAGAGAAAAAAGAAACAAGTGGTACAATCTATCATAGCTTAAGAATGTGACCTCTTCATTACCTTTTTTTTATATATATGGTTAATAGCCTACTGGATAAAATAATTGTAAATTCAATGACACTAGAATGGAACACCACCAGCAGATGTGTAAATGTCATGTCAGTGCACTGCAGTAGTTTCATTAATTTACTTATTTTTTAATTCTCATCTATGCAGACAAAAGATAGAATTCTGCTAACTCTTAACACTTTAACAACCAATTTTTATTAGCACTGGTTTGCTGGGGTAATTATTTTTTAAATTTACGATATACTTAGAAACGGCATTAAATTAGCACACTGTAGAATCCTCTGAAGAAAATCTTCTGAATGTACTTTCCTGTTTTTGTTTTGAGCTCTTAGATAATTCCCTTAGTGACTTATCAGGCTTTTCTCCTTCCCATTCCATGTGTTTTAAGGCGATTTTACAACAAACAACTTCTCTCTCCTCTGCAAGCGCCTCTATAAACTAAAAGTTAGACAAGCAAATATCTATACTAGAATTGAAGATATATTTCAGAAATAAATAAACAATAAGTCACTGAGACTTGACATGAAATCAGAGAGAGCATGATGAAAAAACTGAAGAGAAAAACTTCTGGAAAATGATACATTCTTCAGTGTGACAAATATAAAGAGATGGAAGAGCCATACATAAGTCACTCCTCTGAGAACTGGAGAAATTCATGACATTAGAAAGGTAGACTTAAGGGGTAGGATCCAAAACTGGAAGGATTATAAACCAGAGAAACTGAAAACAGGTAAAATCTAGTTTGTCTTGCTTGAGAAAGAAGACAAGAAAAACAAGTACTAAAAGTAGAGAAATGGCTCAAACAAACCTAAAATCCACCGTAATTTTTCCATGGTTGTCTGATTGGACTTTCTAAAAAGAGTTTTCTCTTACTGTTATGATGGATATTTTTCAAACATATAAATACATAATTTCCTTGCTCAAAAGTTGACCTGTTCACTCCTGAATATTTTCCGTTTGAATCTATCGCAAGACTTCCATGAACATTGTTTCTTTCAATAAGAGTTTTGACTAAGAATCTCTTCTTGAGGAAATCTGTGCTCTTCTTAGCTATACATGCACTGAAAGGCACTATTCATTACTGCATCACTGTGCAGATTCCATACTGCCTGGTGTGCATATCACGGCTTTGTGAAACAACAGACAAATTCAGTCAAGTAGCCTTGAGCTCCAGCTATGAGGCACAGGTCAGAGTACAATAACTGGGAAAACTGTGAATTTTTCCTTCTGAAACTTCCTTTTGATTTCCAAAATAACCACTATTTCCAAAACACTCATGGCACACGTTTCAATTGTATGTTATCTAAACTTGTTTGCACATATCGATGATTCACAATCAGAGCGTGAAAGCACTTTTCCATTCCCTTTGTGCAGTCTTTTCTTCAAAGTCTTCATCACATAAGAAGCACAACTCCCATCCTCTCCTGGGATACATGATTCTCATTTTATTCTCTAAAGAGTCCCAATTCTTAGTAAACATCAATGATGTTTAAATGATGTAAACATCCCTGATTTAAAATATTTTTGTTCTCTTATTTTCTTTGACAATACTATACTCTCAGGCCCTTATAGCAGTAAGTAATGCATACATTCAAAAGGACTTTGTGGCAGAGGCTCTGTAGGTCTTCCAAAGTCAATGACGCAAACAAACAAAAATTTTGTGCAAGAGGAACATGAAGATTGCAGGTCAGAAAGATACCAAAGGAATGTGCTTTTCTGAAGGGGCAATGGTATGAAAGACGTGCTTAAGAAGAAAACAAAGAAACAACAACAAACACCAAGACTTATTAATGCTTTGACTGAATTTTCTGGTCGAGCCTCTTACACATCCATTCATTCCTGACAGCAAGGTCAGCCAGGTAGGAATAGAACTAAACACTCGTTTTGCATTCAGTGAGAGATGCACAGCATTTGAACAACTCGCTCTATGTCAGTTCCTTCTGAGATATATGAATGTATGCCAAAATGGTTTTACATGGCTACACTGCTTTTTTTTTTCCCGACAACACTGAGATTCTAAGAGCGAACTAAGTAAGAGAAACTGATACAAATGCATTCAGTTTGCAAACTAAGTGATCTTATTATCCTTCATACAGTAATGTAAAAAAGATAAAGGGGCTCAAAGAAGCCAGTTACATGATTTACTGCACTCAACAATATAGTAAAACCAGTTGTTTCACATCTGTGTCAAATTTATGCCAAACAGCTACTAAAGGCATACCAATCTGTAATAGTGGTCACTGTGAAGATGAGTCAAAGCCTGGTAGTTTTGTCTAGACTTCAGCTGGTCAGACAAACTATGGTATATTGTGTACTAAACAAATCTTAGCTATGTTTGGAAGTGGATCTAGAACCGTATTCATACCACTTAAATGAATGTGGGATTGAATTCTACTGAATTCTGATGTGAAATAATCTAATTTAATAACATTAACCCCCTTGAGAGTAACGGAGCACTGGCATATTTTTGGTACTTTTATAATCTCTAAGTAAGAGACAGAAGCTGAGTTTGTTGATGATCACACAGCTGACCCAGATATACTGTGCATTGCCCTTACAAGACACTGTCACAACTATGGGAAGAAAAGGGTTTGCATTAAGCCATAACAAAATAACCCACAACAGAAGCGTGGGAATTACGGAGAGAGATGCTGTACTCTATTATTCAAATTATTTATGCCCCACACATACCCATATTTCATTCTAACATGAGTTATTTTCACAACACAGTACTTCCCTTTCGAGTTCAGAATTAATTTTCTTCTAATGTATTGCAAACAAAGCTCCATGGCCCTGTGAGTAAAACTGGACAAAAGCATTATCAAATTTAGCTGCAGCTGAATTTGTACAAGTGACCTTGATGATATTTTAGCATCCAGTAATCTTAATCCTACATTGCAATGAAACTGAGAACAAAAAAATATCTTTAAAAAGGAGCCTCACCACGTCAAAGGCAGTCCCAAGTAGCACAACTGTGCATTTCTGTATCTTAACAAGTACTACTCAAAGTACATCTGGCTTGAATGCATA